CCCTATAATTATCCTCAAGCACCGTTTCATTACGTTCGAAATCGAGGTAGGTCTTGCTTTATTACAATGTGGGGGAGGGGAGGGAGGGGTGCAGGTGTAGCAGGGCCGTTACCTGTTAGGTCGCGTTCATACTCTGCGACTGAGGTGATTCGGCAATTTGAGAGATCGCGCGAAGAGGAAAGTGTATGTATCGATCTGGAGATTGCTGGGATTGAGTGATCCGACGACTTGGGAGACTCGGCGATCTGGCGTTTTAGAAGATCGCCGATAGCCGAATCTCAGCAGTCACTAGCGACCGGCACCGATCGATACTCATCCACTCCTTTAGCGCGCAATCGCCGATGACGCCGAGTCTCCCAAATTGCCGGATCAATCATTTCGAGATCGCTAGATCGATACCTATATTTGCCTCGTCGCGCAATCTCTCAAGTTGACGGATTTCCTCAGTCGCAAACCATGAACGCGGCTAGGGTAGCAGAAAGGAAATGACGTCTGTTGACGTCACATCATACTTTAATAACAAGGCAACTTTCACTGTGTCATTGTCAGTGACGTCTCAAGATGTCACTATTGTGTATGTGACGTCTTGGCACGTCATCTATCCCTCAACAAATGTCCTGACTGCGTACCTGTGCAACATCCACGGCCAGCAAAGTTTTTTTTTAATGTTGTGAATGAAAGCTGTTGTTTCAGATGAATGGCCTGTGCTCAATTCAGAGAATGTAGAGGGTGGTGATAGCGAGCGTAGGGGTATGTATTACATGTGGAGAAACATGTTCTCTTCAATAAATCTTATAAGGTACGTTAAGAACTTTCTCTGGAACACATTCCGCGCTTAGTCAACAGAGGGGAGGGTGTGCATGTTCACAACCATACCATAGAGTTTTGTTTGGTGTGGATGTTGGGGCACCTCAGGCAGTTGAATGTGGCGCATCACCAGCCCATTTTCCACTGTGGTCGCATGCCGGCTTCCAGTACCATTTTCGTCGCTCAACAACGCCTTGCGAGAGCGCTTAGGTCCTGCGATGACCGGTGACCCCGCTCATACCAGGAGTAAGTGCCCACAAGCTTATTACTGCTGTATGGTGTTCAAGGCGCGTCGTACGTCGTTGCGGATCGGACGGTTGGGGGAAGAAGAGGTGGCTTTGGGAAAATATTATTGGTTGTCTACTTTTCTGAGCTTTATACGCCATCCCTCACGTTCTCCCTCGACGATAATTTTTTTCGGGCGGAGTTTTGGAGTTTCTCAGAGTTTCTGAAAAAAA